TTTTTTTTTTTTTTTGCTTTTGTTTTTCCCATCTGTCTCATCTTCCCCCGTCAAATATACAGACAAATGAGTTGGCGTTAGAGCATTTCCTTCAGTTATTTCAACAGGATTGTTTTTTTAGTGGGTTATGTTTGACGTAAGCTGTTTTCTCCTTATTTCAGATGTATTTAATAACAACATTGCTACCGAATCAAGTCGAACCGCCACTAATCAATCAGATTTTGCCAAAAGAACTTTTGCTCAGGTTTCAGGTTTTCTTTCCTACGCCGGTTTATTATTTCTCAGCTTACTCAGTTTTTCTTTCAAAATTTTTTTTCTATTTCTTCTATTAAACTTTTTTTTTTCCAATGAAAACAGCTTTTGAAAACTGCTTTGAACGTTTGGATCAGTCAGCATTTTTAATGTTTTACAGCTGCATTTATTTTCCGGAAACTATTTTTGTGTTTTGCCCAAAATTTGAAAAAATTTTTTTAATTTGTTTATTTTAAAAAATGAAAAGGATTTGCTGTTATTTTGTCGGGAGGAAGTCACGACGGATCGTTTTTTGTTACTAGGGTTTAGCAGTGTTGAGTTAGATTTCTCCTGAGGCTGTCGCAAATCTGAACGAAAATTCTGCATTGCTTTTTGTAACCTTTCAAACAAAAAAATTTTTTCTTCTGTCAACAGTTACATTTTTGAGTATATTTAAAGGATATTTTCTTATTTGGACATTGTATCATTGTGCCGCTGTGCTCAAACGTGCAGGTTCTGGAATTTATTAGCATTAGATGGGAGCAACTGGCAACGAGTGGATTTGTTTAATTTTCAAAAGGATGTAAAGGTTAGTGTTTTTAAATTTATTTGTGAGCACGGGCATGGGTAGCTTAGTGAGGGATAAAGGTTCCCGGTGGCTGTCATCAGAGATTCAGATTTTTTTTCAGAATGATATCTGAGTGGGAAAAGTTTGTGTCATTTTTTGTGTCATTTTATTGCCTCAGCTTATTAAAATTTACCTAGCTGTTTTGAAAAACCTTTTTATTTAATTTTTCGGTTGACCTTTGATCATTTTTGTTCGTTACGGTTATAGATGCTGTTTTTGGCGCTGTTGTTGCTCACAGATGAGCCGAACTGAATGAGAAAAACACTACTGTAGTGTTATTTTCAAAAGATGGTTGATTAACTTAAGTGTTTTTTAAGACGCCGGTTGTTGAGAATTTGGCGAAAAGATGTGGAAAGTTTCTTAAGACATTAAGTCTGCGAGGTTGCGAGAATGTTCAAGAATCGGCGTTGAGACTTTTCACTCAAAAGTGTCCAAACATTGAACATTTGTCGTTGTATAAATGTAAACGAGTCACTGATTCGTATGTTTTTTATATTTAACTTTTAATTTTTTTGCATGATAGGCTAAAAAAAAGAACAGTTTATGACGGTAGTGAAATTAATATGATTTTGTACAGGTGAACTGTGTTACAAAGCGTCTTTCTCTTTTTATGGTTAGGGTGTGAGACAAATGAAAATTGTAATCAGTCTGCTGAGTGGGTTTTTAAGATAGATTCAGTCACGAATTATTCATAATAGTTGGTTTTTAACTCAGATTTGCAACTTATTTGCTTTTAGGACCTGTGAGTATCTTGGTCGTAATTGTCATAAATTGGTTTGGCTAGATTTGGAAAATTGTACGGCTATTTCTGACCAAGCTTTAGAGTCGATAAGGTTAGCTGTTTTTTGCGATTTAGTCAAAAGATTTGCTGTACTACTGTTGCAGTGGCACTGGGGTTTCATTACTCTGTTTAATACCTGATCGTTCTTACTGATTATGAGGACTTTTTGTTTTAACTTTCTGTGGTTTATCTCATGTAACGTCTTTTCATTATTGTTTTACTAAGTGTAATGATGTCAATAGCCGTTTTAGCAACGGGTGCAAGTACTTAGAAGCCTTGAATATAAGTTGGTGCGAAAATATTCAAGATAGAGGCGTTCAACATATTCTTAAAGCGTGTCGTTGTTTAAGCGAATTAAATCTTCGAGGATGCGAGGGAGTGTGTTTTTTCCGTTGTTTTAGCAGCATCGTTTTTATTTTTAGTATTTTTGGTAGCTGAGAACAAGCATGTTTTCATATTTGTCTAGCTATATGGGTTGTTTATCCTAAGGCTTATAGTGAAGTACCAATGTTTTGGTAACGCTACAGAAAATAATAATTGGAAGTTATTTATTATTTAATTTAGCATAGTTCCGGAGACGAGGAAAATTAGGGATTTTAGAAAAAAAATTTCTGATTGCCTGATCAACTTTAAAGTACCGGTCCAAAAATATACACAGTGATCGCAGTAACTTATAAATTTTTTTCCTTTAGGTGTTTAGCTTTTCAGATTACTGAAAACGTTTTTGCTGGAGTCAGCGACCGTTGTAAGGAACTGCATAGTTTAAACCTTCAGGGGTGCTTCATTATGGATAATACAGTGGCTGATATAGCTGCTGGTTGTCCTAATTTAGAGTACCTTTGTCTGTCGTCTTGTCCTCAAATAACTGATCGGTCATTATTTGCTCTCGCTAATAGCTGCTTATACCTGAAGTACGATTTTATTGGTACATCATCTGTTCCTAAATTTACAGTTGTCCCTCTTTTGATGTCATTTCGAAACTGTTTCGTAGCAAGTCGAGTTTTCAGTGGAGTTTTTAGGGACCTTGAACTTGCTGGTTGTGCATTGTTAACTGACAGTGGTTTTGCTTCTTTGGCAAAAAATTGTCATGAGTTGGAAAGGATGGATTTGGAAGACTGTTTACTGATTACCGATCTTACGCTTGACAGCTTTAGTCGAGGGTGTCCGTGTCTTATCAATTTGGTTAATATTTATTTTTGTCTAATTCGTTGCTTTTTAACTTTTTCTTTGCAGTAGTCGAGGAAAAAGGGTTTATTTTTGTATTGTAGAGTCTCTCACACTGCGAACTGATAACCGATGCCGGTCTACGCCATTTATGTTCAAATCAAAGTCTGAGAGAACGGCTGCAAGTTTTAGAACTTGATAATTGTCCTCTAATCACTGAAGTATGTCTTGGTTATATGAAACAGTTACGTTCATTACAACGGGTGGATCTCTATGACTGTCAAAATGTCTCTAAAGAAAGCATTAAACAGTTTAAGGTGATCTTTTATTTACTAGACATGGGTGTCATTGGCGTTCTTATTGCTTAACAGAGAGCAAAATTTTAGCAGTCGCTAAGCATGTTTTTCTTCCTGGTGTTAGCTGAGAGACGTACTGTTGATAAAACGGTCCTGTTTTTCAGATTGCAAGGCAGGGAGTTGAGGTGCACGTTTACTTCACTCCAGATGCCCCAGTGGTTCAGGCACAACCGGCTAGGAGTGGTATTTGTCGCTGCTGTGCTATTCTGTGATGTTTATTGTGCGTATGCGCGTATATGGGTGTGCATCTGTGTGTGCGGCATGTATGTATGTATTTTTTTGTCAATTGCTGTTATTTTTTTTTGTGCGAATGTGTTCTTAATAGTCGTGTTGTATTTGAAATTAATCTTGCTACCATGTAACACGAAATATCCCAGTCAGACCTCTTTTATTGTACTTTTTTGTTCATTTTCTTTCTCTTTTTCTTTTTTTCCTCATCACTGTTATTAATATTAATTAACCCTTACTGATGGCAATGATGAAAAATCGTCGAAGTTTTTAATTTTATAATTGTTTAAAGTTAGATTTTCTAGACAGAAATGTGCGACGAACGGGTAAGGACTTGTTTGTTTACTAACTTGTGGAGACTGAGAGGAAGCTTTGTGCATAGTATAATCAGGTTACTCCTACTTGATGAGCGTAGATGGAATTGGAGAAAGCAAAGCCTGTTAAATCTCAGTTAAAATGTATAAATTTTTATTTCTGAGGTGTTTTTTGTTTCTCGGTGTTACTTATCTTTATCCCCAAGTAATTCTCTCTTTTCCAACAAAGTTTTTTACAGTGAAGTAATGATTTTCCTGCAGAACGAACGTTCCGTAAAAAGTGCACTAATTGTTTCGCTATAGTTTCTTTAGGGGGAAAAGGGAGTGAGCGTGAGCGAGTCGTTACGAATAAATTCAATGGGAGGAAGGAGTGAAGTACAAGAAGGAAAATCCACTAAGAAGAGTTAGGTTTCAGACTATCTCTCGAAGAAGCAAAAGAGTGCTGTAACACAGAAGGACGTATGCACGCGTCCTAAAAGCTTAATCGGCAAATAAATATTAGTTTTGAAGCCATAAGTAAATCACTGATTGATTAATCGATACGAATGCGTAGCTGAACGAAAATTGGCATTTTACAAGTTCTGGGCTTCTTTCATCTTTGCTATCGCTTTGTAATGTACAAATGTGGACAGTGGAACAAAAGAAAAGATGGTTTTTTTTTGTATTGTTTTGGAACACACGGCAGAAGGAGATTTTTTTCTGCTGGTTAATTATTTGTCTACAGATGCTCTTCGCTTGATTCTTTTGGCTTGTTCGAGACTCCTGCAGTTGTCTTTCGGCATTTTCTTGAGGCTTCGCAAATCAGGATTTAGTTCCATCATTTAAAATGCCATGGACTTTATCTGCTGTCATTAAGTAAGTCATCCTTTCGACACCGCGAAAGACTTACTGGTTTTGATATATTACTGTGATGCGTCAGATAGCTTGTATTAAAAGCCGTTTGTAGGGGGGTCGTTTCTGCATAACAGTTACGGAGCAAATTTCTTTGGTTTGAAAGCTAGTTCTTTGAGTGGGAATAAAACTGCAAGGCATTTATGTTGGAGCTTATCAACAATGGAGCTCAAAAATCAGTGGAGCTGTTGCGCTTGGTTTGCAGAGCCCGTAAAAATGACGGTGAGCCGCATAGCGCTCTTTGTCGCCAGTTTATCAATTTTTGACCACAAGAGTTGACTGAGTTTGCGTCGCTTTATTGCCACAAAAGTTTGGCTTATGAACAGTGGAACTACAGTTCTAGAGCGAAAGCTTTAATTTTAGCTTCAGAAGACTTGGCTGAGAGTGTTGTGCACCAAACGCAGTTGAGAAACCAACTGTATCAAGTAATTCCTGCAGCGTTGCTTAATATCTAATCCTCGTAATGTTTTTTGGAGGAAAGGATTTAAGGATTTTCTAGGCTTTTTGCGTCTCCGAGGTCTTCAATCTCTCGCCTTTTTCCGGTAAAAGACTGTCATCGAATTGCGCAATTATTGAGCACATCAAGGGTTGATGTGAAAACTTTAGACGAGTTCGACGCCTTGGCCAAAATGAGGGGATATTCACTGCACCTTGGAGAGGAGCGTTAATTGATAATCTATCTTAACAGCATCTACACTTTTGACGTAAAACCTTAGGACTTTTAGAGATAAACCTTGACTAGCGTTAGCAAAGAAAACGCTTAAACGAATGTTGCAGATGAAAGGGCAGGCAGGAAAGTAAAGGAATCTTCAAATGTCTCAAATGTTAGAATTCCTTTGAACCATTTTTGGCCTATGCTGGAATAAAGACGAAATTAGTTTGCAATTCGTCAAAGGTTTTGTTTAGAGAGTTTCACAAGAATGACAGGAACAATGGTTGAATTCTGGTTTCAAAAAATTTTAAGTTGTACACTTGAAAGATGGATTGTTTTGGTGACTTATCGTGAATTTTGAGCTGGTGGGTATCCAAATAATCCTAGTTGTTCTTCCAACTGGATTATTACTTTCAGTGCTGTTGTTTACACTTTGACTG